CTTATCGTTCTCGCAGGGTTCCGCTCGGAAGCGAGAACCTGTTTTATGCAACCAGAAGTTTACGGAGTAATCAGTCGTTCCTTCACCAGAGCTCGTTGTGCGTATCACTCGATATAAAAAAGGCCACGTTATGAACAGCATTAATAACACTAAGGACGTTCCAGAGAAAAAGGAGTTCGCTTTGCACAGGAGCGTAGGTTACTTGTATATATTTTACTACCAGTTTGAGGGCTTGTTGTCAGTCTTCTGAAGGGTCGGTAATTTCTGAGACCACAGCCACTAGTAGTGATGTTGTTGACGCTGAGAAGGTCAGTAAGTGGGACTTGAAGACACAGACGCCACACGGAGGGCAGGTAGGCTTTGGTTGTGGGTGGTGATGGTCGTTTATGGTGTTGCTCGTCAGGAGTGGTCGGAGATCGGCAACCTTGTTGAGGACTTCTCGGTCACCACGAATGGTCTTGGTCCGGTATCTGAGGCACTGGAAGCTGCTAAGGAGGCGTTGCTGAGTAGCGTTGTGAATTTTGTGGCGCGGTGAAGTTACCTTTGATGGTCAGCCATCGAGCATTATCCTCCGAGTGACTTCGAGCCAGCAATCACTGACTTGGCCGAGTTCCTCTCTCCTCACGACTCAGCTGACATGCGCTCCCGTCTGCTGTTGGGCAACGGCGCTAGTGAGATGATCGATATGATATCGAGGTTGGCCCCGAAGGGTCAATGGAGACCGGGTGAGCAAGAATCTTCGTTTCACAAGATGCCTGATATCTTTCGACCGTTTCATGTACTCGTGCCTATTTCTCTGATGGACTTTCCACGTGTTCCAACTCGACTACTCAGTTCTTCATGTCATTTTTTTAATTCAGGTCCATTCACCACTCAGTATCAAGAGTATCGTCGGTCTGCAACCAACGCTGGTCGTGCCGAACTGCATTGGTCTGATGGTGGTGCTAAGCTGACGAGCATTGTGAACCCCTGCAATCCCACAGGCGACTATATGCACGTTGAGGAGATCAAAGAGTATGACTGCGAGGAGAGTCAAAGTCATAGTGTTATTAGGTACATCTCTGAGACGTGTGACGGCAACAGTTGGGTGGTGGTTGATGAGTCTATGCAGCCTTGGGCGGGCCCTCATTGGCGTGAAGACTCCCTTACTAGTCAGAAGGAGTTTATACAGGAGATCCAAAGGAAGAGAGGCATCAGTGTAGGC